CAGATGTTCCGCTCCGTAGTTTCTTGTGTCCGGGTGTTGGATGTGGAAGTCCAGGGTGTTCAGGCATTCCGCTCTATAGTTTCCTGTATCTAGGTGTCGGGCGCGGAAGTCCAGAGTGTTCAGGTATTGGGTGTCCAGATGTTCCGCTCCGTAGTTTCTTGTATCTAGGTACTGGATATGGAAGTCCAGGGTTTCCAGGTGTTCCGCTCTGTAGTTTCCTGCATCTAGGTGACAGACATGGAAGTTCAGGCTGTTCAGGTGTTCCGCTCCGTAGTTTCTTGTATCTAGGTACTGGATATGGAAGTCCAGGGTTTCCAGGTGTTCCGCTCTGTAGTTTCCTGCATCTAGGTGACAGACATGGAAGTTCAGGCTGTTCAGGTGTTCCGCTCCGTAGTTTCTTGTATCTAGGTACTGGATATGGAAGTCCAGGGTTTCCAGGTGTTCCGCTCTGTAGTTTCCTGCATCTAGGTGACAGACATGGAAGTTCAGGCTGTTCAGGTGTTCCGCTCCGTAGTTTCTTGTATCTAGGTACTGGATATGGAAGTCCAGGGTTTCCAGGTGTTCCGCTCTGTAGTTTCCTGCATCTAGGTGACAGACATGGAAGTTCAGGCTGTTCAGGTGTTCCGCTCCGTAGTTTCTTGTATCTAGGTACTGGATATGGAAGTCCAGGGTTTCCAGGTGTTCCGCTCTGTAGTTTCCTGCATCTAGGTGACAGACATGGAAGTTCAGGCTGTTCAGGTGTTCCGCTCCGTAGTTTCTTGTATCTAGGTGTTAGATGTGGAAGTCCAGGGTGTTCAGGTATTCCGCTCCGTAGTTTCCTGCATCTAAGTGTCAGACGTGAAAGTTCAGGGTGTCCAGGTGTTCCGCTCCGTAGTTTCCTGCATCTAAGTGTCAGACGTGAAAGTTCAGGGTGTCCAGGTGTTCCGCTCCGTAGTTTCCTGCATCTAAGTGTCAGACGTGAAAGTTCAGGGTGTCCAGGTGTTCCGCTCCGTAGTTTCCTGCATCTAGGTGTTAGATGTCGAAGTCCAGGGTGTCCAGGTGTTGCGCTCTGTAGTTTCTTATATCTAGGTGTCGGACATAGAAATCTAGAGTGTCCAGAAAACTGTGCAACGAGCGACGCTTTGGCGCTTTGCTCAAACTATAGTATCCTCTCTGTTGTTCGCACGGCCTCAGGTACGTAAATAATCCAGCACACTCTCCTCTCTTACGTTTACCACACGGCTTCAACAAGCTGGACACCATTAACGATGCTTATATGCACTGAAGATTATATTTTTTTTTAAATTTGTATATATCTTTTTGCATTTCTAAAAAAAAGGGACTTACAAATTATATTTATATGCCATTAAACATTTTCGACGACGCAATATATTTTTCTGATTAGCGACATCATAATGTATTTACATTTTATATCTGTGAAAATATAGATTTCAGTGCTTAGAGCTTCTATGTCCCGTTGAACAATAAAACTTGTGATATCCCTCAAAAAACACTTACGTGTAAAAAACTACGCCAAGTACAGGAGTGCTGTGTATTCCTTTAATGAAAAGTATTGATATCAGATTATTGAGGCCAAGTACATAAGTCACTACATGTTTGCCTATTATATGATCTAGCACTGGCCCACCATTTTAATTGTATTTTCAAAATTTCCTATAACCTTTTCACTACTCTTTTACATTACTACTGTTTCTCTTAGTTGGTTATGATTTAATGGTCATTTAATAATTAAAAAAATTTTAGGTGATTTCTTATCTGTGCTATTTTCTTCAAACTTCTTTATTCCTAGCATCCTTAAATCTAAATTTGTAACAGTGTGCAATTGGGTCTGTGCACAAGTAGGTTCCCCCGTGGCCAAGAATAAGTATGATCCTCTTCTAGCCAGGCCTGATATGAAATTTGCACAGTATGAGAAATACGTGTCGTTCAACGCGTGATTTCGTTTCATGACAAGGCAGCGTCCCGTAAGTTTACGATATAACCTCTCTCAAACCCCTCTTTGACGACGTTCTGACATAATGCACATGATACACTAATAATATGCAAAAGTTGACTACGCCAGCGAACCGTTTTAATAATATAAAGTGTGACGTGATTCTTCGTTTCATGGTCACATGGCGACTCCGGGTATCGATTTAGATAACGTTCTCGCTTACTGTCCGCTTCGAATCGCTACCATGCTCAGAAACTACACTCCCAGATTGGTTCGTATAGTTACGCCAATGCTCTCGGAAGATCTCGTTAGGGTTTAGTTGAGGTCGAAGTTCTCGAATCTGCCGTGGGGAGATAGTCTCGACGTACCGAGTTGCCCGGCAGAGGAGAGTACCCGACGAAGACGTCTCCACGGACCGGCAGAAGCCCGGATAAAATACCGGCGCCCCAGTGGAGAGAGGCAAAGGGCTGTGGAGCGAACAGAGATAATGTTTGTGATAAGGTTAAGGGTAGGGGACGAACTCACTGGCCGGAGTTGAGGGTGTGGTGTCCAGCTGTCACCTGATGCCCTGGGTAAGCGGCTGTGGAGGTTTTCCAAAAGTGTTACATATCGACTCGCTATGTAACGCTCTCGATTTGGTTTAAAGCGACTACTCGAGGGAAAGGAAAAGTTATCGCATATAACAATTTCGATCGATTAGAATGATTAGTTCTCGAATTTGGCTATTGTCAAAGCAGTCTGTCTCGGGGCACCAACCGAGGTGTCTCGAACTGGCTCGCGCTCCCGTGCTATCTGTTGATAGTTTTTCTAGCTTAATTTCGATACGATATAGAAGATTCTCGCTCGTGTAGTTCCCGCGTTGCTCTCGCGATATCCAGGAAATTCTATAGATTTTCTGAGCGTGTTCTGGAGGTGTAGTGTTATGCTCTTGTGCAATTCCTACCCGAGTGTATTCTCGATACAGTTCGCGGCCTTCACGGATTAGCTGCACCAACTCGCGTGAGAACTCCAAATTTATTAATCGGTGAAGGGATTTCGATTTGATAGTTCAGATTCGTTCTGTTACGTTCTTGATCCGTTGCTCTTTGTATCTCGCACTATTTGCCTGACGCTTACTTCGACCATCTCCACCTCAACCTAGCAGCCTGAGCGGACGTGCATTTCCGTAATCGTCCGCTCCCGTTCGCGCATCTAGTTGTGTTTGCTGATTTTATGTGACCCCAAAGATCAGCACCTACGCTTTCAATTCTCGATTTTACGCGTCCTTAAAAATCGACAGAGGATTATTGAATTACAAAACCTGGCTGTATATCAAATTAAGGCGATAAGAAATTTTGTGGAACAAGAAATATCTAGTATATGTGTTACTTGATTTGGAAAAGATTAGTCTATGCAGCTCAATTTTGCCCGGTAATTGATTCAGCTTGTTTCCTAGGATATGTAATAATGAATCCGTACCTAGGGCGCGAGTGACAATGTGTAATCCGATCTTTTGTGTGTGAAGCTAAACGATTTTCTAAGCATCAATAATATGATTTTGACTACTTATACAGTCATTTTTTTGCTGGTGCTCTTAGGTATGGTTAGGACCTTAGGAATGCAGTGAACTAAGGACTGGGTAGGTGACACGGGCAATGCACTAGGTAACGTGCTGAATCTGCAATTCTATTAGCTGTTGGCTATGTTATTCTGTTTCAAAATTGATAACCGATGCTATACGTGACAAATGCTTTAAGAAAATGTTTAAAAAATTTGAGTTTTTTACATGCCACAGTAGCATTTCTCCTTGAAAATGTGTCACTTTCTCCCACATTTCTCTATATTGCACATTTTTAAAACTACTATATGAACAATGTACACTGGACCTCAATAATGGTGTCAGCGGTGGACGCAGTGCGGTCAGGTAAGAGAGGAGATTGGGCGGCGCCTGCTCACGTATCTTAACCTGTGCGTGCAACGCAGAAAGCACTACGGTGCGAGCGAGACGCCAGAGTGTCGTTCGGTGCGTCCTCGTTGCACAGCATGAGTGTAAGCGAGACGGCAACAAGGCCTCGTATGCGCAATAGCGAGCCTGGTGGCGGACCGCTCGTTTCCGAGCGCACGCTCTTGCTCTCTCTCTCTCAGACTAACGCTCTATAACGAGGACAGCTAGTACCCCGATAACAAACGAGAAAGAGCTTTGCGTCTTTCGGTAGTGGGGATGAGATAGACTTTTTAGTTGCCCATCCTCGTCACACAGCGTTAATGCGACAAAGACAGATAGCTGCGACGTGGTGTCTAGGAATAAGCGTCCAGCGTCTCAACGCATTAGGTGCAACATAGTATCGAGGAATAGGTTTTAGCTTCTCGACGCAGTGCGATGAGGTAAGAGAGGAGACTGGGCGGTGACTGTCGTCTTACCTGGGTACGTGCGTGCAACGCAGCGAACGCTATGCTGCGGCTAAAAAGCCAAAGCGTCCTACGGTTCTTTTGTGCATGAGTGGGAGTGAGAAAGCAATAGGTCCTTTAGTAGCATCTGTCTACAATGCGTTGAGAAGCTGGACGCTTATTCCTAAACACCACGTCGCAGCTATATGTCTTTGTCGCACTAACGCTGTGTGACGAGGATGGGTAACCAACAAATCTATCTCATTCGTACCGGTGAGAGTCGCGCAGCTCCTTCTCACTCCTTATCAAGTACTATCTGTCCTCATCATAAAGCGTTAGACTGAGAGAGAAAGGAAGAGCGTGCTCCCGGACACGAGCAGTCCCCCACCAAGCTTCCTATTGCGCATGAGGTGCCTTGTTGCCGTCTCGCTTACACTAGTGCTGTGCAACAAGGACGCACCGAGCGACGTTCTGGCGTCTCGCTCGGACCGTAGTGCTCTCTGCATTGCACGCACAAGCCAAGATACGTAAGCAGACGCCGCCCAATCTCCTCTCTTACCTCACCGCACGGCGACCACCGCTGACACCATTATTGAGGTCCAGTGTACAAACGCACGATTATTTGCAATGGTATTTAAATAAGACACTCTAGCATATTTTACGTTCTCGTGCCTAAAAATGTAAGCCATTATTTACTTACCTATAATTGGCAAATAGAAATTTCGGGGTTTCCATTTTTTGATCCTGGTATCCTGGTATCCTGGCATCCTTGCAATATACTTTTTTTTGAGTCAATTTACTTAGATATGACCTAATTAAAATTTTAAAGGCCTCAGTAGTGGCAACGTCATAGCAGGAAGCATCAAGTTCAAGATTTTTTTCAAAAAATATATAAAAATGGATTTCCAAAAAATACTGAAGAGATTCTGATGCATCATGTCCATCTCTTCCAAGTCTTGATGGTAAATAATCTAAAAAAACTTGCAAGACCTGTTGCAATGATAAGACAGATTCTGCAATTAATCGAGCGAGTATTTCAGCAAATAATATGGGTTTCTTTCTAACTAGAGTTCCTGAAAGTTCAGAAAAAGTTGGAATTGCACGACTTTTTTTCATAATAGCAGTGGTATCAAAAAGGAGCTGCCAATACTCCAGGAGAATATTTCTCAAAAATCTATCAGACACAGATTCCAAGTACTTTTCAGCTTGTTCTATGCGTTCTGCCTGGATATATAGTAAAACCAAAGCCATTCTTATAGAATCTTCTGTTCCATGTGGCAAGAAAAGATTTATCAGTTTCTCCGTCGCATATTCCCTGAGAACCTATAACAACAATGATAAATTGTTATGTGATGACGTTTTATATTTCCAGCAATGACTTATGAGTATAACATAAAGATAAATGTTTATATGGATGTAATATTCTTTTCATATCATCTTAAGCAAGGGCCAAATATAATTGTGTAATTATTACGCAAATAGAGAACACAACATCTTTCTATTCTACGTACTAAAAGAGAAGAAAATTTGTATTATTGATAAACTGATGGGTTTGATAGATTTAAATGTACTTTTGATTTATTAATATTTTTTGTGACTAAACTATCTTTTTGAAAAAATAATGTACGATTATTTAACTAATTTTCTGTACAGTTTGATGATAAAAGGCATTTTTTATTAATATAAATTTTTTATTATTTAACCCTTCAAGTACGGCAACCTCACGCAGCGAGTGACTGCGAGTGGTGTCCAGATGCGCACAGACCACTTGCCCACAGACCCAGTTGCCCACGGAACACTTGCGCACGGATTGAAATCTTCATCGACCCAGATGCCCACAGACCC